TGATGTCGTGACGTTGTCATTTCAAAACAAGTGAAACAAGTGAACAAAACAAGTGAAACAAGTGAACAAAAAGGAGGCGGGTGTAAATATCATTCTCAATCCTGCTTGTAAAAAAATTAGAGGATCTCCTACCCAAATAAATGCGCTCCCTTTAGCACAGTAGATATTGTAATAGATATTAGAGTGTTTAGGTTGGTCCTTATAGAAGATAGCTGATAACCAAATTAGAACGCGAACGCCGCGCGTAAGGACCCCGAAGAATCCGTCTCCGGTGATATCCGCTATTCAGTTCATATGTACTCCTATCCCCTTCTTCCTGCAATCAATGCTAATAAATCTACTGCACCCAACCCTCTTCTGAAGTCCGTGGTTCAAGAGCATGGGGCTAGGCGGGCAGTTCCTGTAGAGACATGTCCTCAATGATGAGCAATAAGACAGGGATCATTTCAAATAGTCGGATTCGTTTTCGGCTGCCAATAGTGGAACACCCGCGGGGGTGCATTCAGTTGGGCCGAATGCACTTTTTCTGGGGATACAAGGTAGTGGTGGTTACAGATCTATTAGTACTGTCATAAAATCTATAATTTATAAATTATATGCCGAGCATAACGGAGATATTTTGGGTTATGGTGCTAATGTTACGTCATTTTTTCGTTTTGCAAACTTACACACTTCTATTCGTCTCCTAGAGAAACATTTCCTTTCTAGTTGAATGCATCGATCCAATGTGCTCAAAATGAAGACAAAATTCTAATGCCCTTCTTTTGTTTAACTACTCGGCTAATTCCGTATCTTCTCATCAGCCGAGAGAATTAACGTGGCGACGTTCGCCGTACGCCGTAGCGATAATGGAGGGCGGTCTTTTCCGCAAGTCGTCATTTTCAACTATGTTTTGTAGAGTTTCCTCCGCTCAGTTTTGCAAGTCTAGCTGCTCGGGTCGCGGAGTGCACAGGTCAAAAAATTAAGCCGTCAGATTTGACCATTGGTAGCTATTGGCTGTTCTTAACCGTACTAGGTTTTAAGGTCGATGGGATAATTTGTCATTGCTTCTTTGATTTTTACGGGATATCTCTTAGTCCATCGGAGCGGTCTTTCTATGCCCTCTCTTTAATGAAGAAGTTTGAGCAGATGAAGTTTCCTGAACCTTTCACCTCCTCAGACTTTGCGGAGGAAAGGGATCCAAAAAAGATGTCAAGAATCTTATCGTGGTTATTCCAATTTTTCGAAACCTTTGCTCCTGCTAATGAGTACGCATACAGTGTATGTGCACATTCCGCTTTTGTGATTATTAAATAGGTATGGAACTCATATAAGGAAAAGGCTTCTCTTGCTTCATCTCTAAAGCAGAAAATTGATTCTCTGCGCATTATTAATAAAGCAGAGGAGGAGAAGCGTTTAGAGTACCAGAATAATATTGTGGAACTACAGTCGTCCTTGTCTGCAAAGCTTACCTCAAAGAGGCAACTTGATGAACGTGTCTCGTCCGAAAGTCGGAAACTAGCTCTTCTTACTGAATCCGAGAAGTCTCACTCATTAGAAGTTACAGTCGTTAATTTTTTCTTTATAGTGCCGTGATTGGGTCGTTTTTCTAGAGGGAGACTTGCCTTTGTTCACAAGTTTACGGCTTATTCATAGCATTTATCACTGCTGTTCATTTCTTTAGTATTACCGATTTTTAACATTGCTCTCTGCCTTTTCAATGTGTTCCAGGGTATTCTTATGCATACTAATAGCTTTCTATTCACTCTACTCATGTTTTGAGATTTTAAAATGTTTTTGTCTCTAAGGCAACGGCTTTGGATAAGAAACTTTATGAACTTAAGGCGAAGCGGGAATCTTTACTTCCTCAAGTCATCGAGAATCCGGGCGTCCTTCCGAAGGCAGTGGAGGAATTGAAGGCGAAGCTGAATGCCTTGGAGCTTGAAATGCAAGAGATTCGAGCAAAGACATTTCAAGTTGATCAGTCGATTAGCGAATTTAAGCGACTTCATGATGTGATTGAAAACCAACTTGTGACAGTTGCTAGGACTTGTCATTCGCTGCTCTTTCAAATGTCACAGTCTCAAAGAGACTTGGAGGTGCGTCATATCACTTTATCTTTTTCGTCATTACGGTGGCCCTTGCAAAGATTGCGTTAGTTAGTAAAGCACTGCCGACTCACTTTGTTAAGGTGAACTTAGCAAGCTGCTGTTGCTTCACACTTTTTGGAAATAATATTTGCAGTTATTTTGGAAGTAGTTCCAATGTTAAGCACTTCGATGCTGTTAACCTGTTGATGAATACTAAGTTCCTCCACTAGATATTTCTGCTTTCACTTCGCCCAGCCGTCATATAATGACCTTGCTTTTCAAAGATATATGACAAAGAAATAGCAGGACGGTTTGCCAGTATCGAATTGTTGGGTAAGAAAATCACTGACGCTACGGAACAGCTGTGCGTCTCAGAACATAACATTGTGAAAGCTAAAGTAATGGATGCAACCCGAGCAGTGGTAATTCTAATTAGCTGCATTATTTCCGTTCCCGTCTGCTTATGACTGTTGTCATCATCACTGGACTTTTCTTTGAGAATGACGAACGCATAAAGAAAGAACGGGCAGCACTATTGGATAAATATTGCTTTGCCTTCAAATCTCTCGAACCCGACGTCACCGCAAAGGAGGCACTATTGAAAACAACAAAAATACTTTTTGAGAGAGAGTATTCCAACAAAAAGGTATGTTTGTTATCAACGGTAGGAAAGCCTCCTCACTTATGCTTGTTCATATGACCGTTCCGAGGTATCGATCCTTCTTTTAGCGTGACGATGACTGGAG